GAGACTGTCATCTCCCAGTTAGACATAGCTTGGCAGGAAGTCCATGGCTTTTCTAAGCATGGACTCCCCAGTCCCCTCCAAGCAGCACGGGGAAGGCCCGAACTGTGCTCCTACCAAACAGCCCTTCTTCACTTTTGATGCAAATCTCCAGGCTGAGTAAATCCTGCTGACACAGCCTGGAGATTTGTTCAGAGATACAGAACAGCACCTTATGCCGTCTCTTAATTTTGGAAAGTTCAAATATACAGGGATAAGGAGTTTGCTGACTAAACAAAGGTTCTAAGCAGTTGATTTTTTGAAAAAGTATCTATTTAATGATCAAATCTCTTTTTAAAGATTTGTATACATATGCACAGACACCACTCCTGTGTAATTTATCATTTTCTGTAGGATCTTTAAGAAAAAAAAGCAAAATATCCCAAAGGAAAGCATCACTATCATTCTATATTAAATAGTTGTTTTTAAATAGTTAACAGTTCATGTATATTCTTGAAGGACTCTTATTTTTAAAAAACAAAACATTTTAGGGATTAGGTATAATCCAATGGCACGGAATTTTCCTAGCATTCAGGATGCTCCAGCTTTGGTTCCCAGCACTGCCAAAAATCAGCTTAAAGGTGGCAGGGAAAGGAGCTAGTTTCAAGAATGTACCCAGGGTGAGTCTGCACAGTGTTAAGATGAAGGCTGTGTGACGTCCAGGTTACTCTCCTGGCTTTCCTGTGACAGGCAGCAGTTTTTACCAGTTGGCGGGAGGAGCACGGTTTGTCTTGTCCTCTCAGGTTGGCATTAATCTGGTGTGCCGATGCACACTCGCCTCTGGCACCAGAATGACTTGTACTGGCTGTGTCTGTGCCACGAACCTAGGCTTTGTAGTGTGAACTTCAGCCCGAGTGTTCTTGTTTTGGGTCTTTTTCCTTTCTTTTTGGTAAGTTTTCTGAAGTGGACTATAATATGTTAGAGGTGTGCACAAAACTATTTTGCATGTTTTTCTTTTTCTTTTTTCTTTTCTTCTTTTTTTGTTCCATGTAGATTCTTTTTAGCAAAATAAAATTCAGAAAAAGATGTACAAGTGCTGATTTTTATTCTGTGTAAAGTTCTTTCATGTGTCATAAAAAAATAGTTGACATCTAGATGACCACAAATAAAAATATGAGACAAAGTGCCCTGTGAATAAGAAACATTGTTTCCTGGGTCTGTTGCACAACAGCAACTTAGTCATTTTACTTAAGCAAAGTTGTATGAATAACACAAATGTTTTCTATAGAAAGGGAATTAATAAGGCAAAGAGCAGGCCTCGCCTCATTTTTTGGAGAGGTGCTTTTAGTTCCTTGGTGGCCCAATATTTTGTATGTAGTTCTCACAATACAGCCTCTGCCTCTGGCACTACAGACACTATGATCAGATTGTTTGTTTCTTTTTAAATTGTTATTTTATTTTATTATTTTTCATGTGTGTGTGTGGGGGGGGGGGTAGGTGTAAGAGCACATGTGCCATGGTGTGCATGTAGGGGTCAAAGGACAACTTTCAGCAGTCTCCTTCCGCCACATGGATTCTAAGTACAGACGTATGTCATCATGTTTAGAAGCAGATGTCGCTACCCACTGAGCAATCCCTGACTTTTATTTTGTTTGTTTGGCCCAGACTTTTTATTTGTTTGTTTATTTGCAAATTTATTTATTTATTTATTTATTTATTTTGGTCTTTCGAGACAGGGTTTCTCTGTGTAGCTTTGCACCTTTCCTGGAACTCACTTGGTAGTCCAGGCTGGCCTCGAACTCACAGAGATCTGCCTGGCTCTGCCTCCCGAGTGCTGGGATTAAAGGCGTGCACCACCACTGCCCGGCAAATTTATCTATTTTTAAAAGATGTATTTATTTTTATTTTATGTGTATGAGTGTTTTGCTTGCATGTATGTCTGTTCACCACTTGTGTGCCTGGTACCTTTGGAGGCCAGAAGAGGGTGTTGGATCCCCTGGAACTGGAGTTACTGATGATTGTGAGCCTCTATGTGGGTGCTGGGACTTGAACCACTGTGGTCCTCTGCAAGAGCAACAAGTGGTCTTAACCACTGAGACATCTCTCCAGCCCCAACTTTAAGATTTATTTTTATTACTTTTTAACTATGTGTATAAGTATGTGTCTGTGTATGTATGGGCATGTGGGTATAGGTGCCTGTAGAGTCTAGAGGTATTGGATTTCCCTGGAGCTGTAAGAAGTTGTGAACTGCCTGACTTGGGTGCTGGGAACCAAACTCAGGTCCTTTGCAACAGTAAAACAAGCTATCTTTCCAACCCCACAGATTAATTTTTATTTTGCCCCACAAAGCTTCAAATATAGCGAAGTTGCTGTATTCCTTTCATTTATTTTTTTTCCAAGTGCAAAGGAAAATCTCTTAGTGGAATTAAGAAAAAACAACAATAACAACAAAAATAACAACAACAACAAAAACCCAGCATGGACAAAGCCCTAGGCTTGATTCCTAGCACCTCACAAACTATCCCAGGACTCAAGAGGTAGAGGCAGGAGTTCAAGGTCATCCAGGACTACATAGTGAGACCTTGTCTCAAAACACAAACAAATAAACAAACAAACAGACTAACTCATTACTTTAGGAGTGATAGCAATTTGAAGTAGTAGCAATTTTTTAAATAGACAGTGAAGAAAATCTCATAAAATTATAGGATTTAAATTTGGAGGTGACTAGGAGGTCATCCAGGGACCTTCTAAACGTGAGACTAAGGTCTGGAGGGGGAAGTGGCCTGTTACAGAGTCAGCCAGAAGCCATAGAATAAATATGGACTTTGTCATTATGAGACCTGGGCTTAGATCAAGGCTATTTTATACTCTTTTAGTGATATCAAAAGAGACTCCTTTCAACTGTTCATCTATCTGAAAACGGTAATAACACTTGCACCATAGAGTTATTTTGGAAATCAAATGTAAAGACTTCTGAACAAGTTACAATTCAGGTTTTCATCAAAATGCAATGTTAGTCATTATTGTCAGCACCAAAGCCATCAACCCTGCTGCATTTCCTCACTCCTGTTCTTTCCCCACCCCCTCCACATGCACAGTCTTCCGGGAGAACAGCAGTGAGAATAAATGATATAACAAGTAGTTCAAAAATATGAACCACAGAAATCAGAAGTTGGCATCGTGAACCTGCATCAAAATTTCTATCCTTGACTGGAGAGGTTGGAGACAAAACAAAAAGTATTTGTCCTGAGCTACATATGGCAGTTCTCACCTGCAATTCCAGCACTTGGAAGGCAGAAGCAAGACCTGGCTGAAAGTTGAAGGTCAGCCTGGTCTACATAGCGAATTTCAAACAAGCCAGGACTCCATAGCAAGACCCTGTCTCAAAAACAAATAAACAAGCTTGTTCTTTGCTCACTCATTCATTAAACAAATATTTGCTCTTTTCTGATGGTGACACCTTCCTAGGAAAAAAGACCCCTCCCAAAGGATCCTCACCCCTCTCCAGATGAGGAGACCCAGGAAGGACCTGGTACAGAGCCCCAATTCCTACCCCAACGATGCTACAAAACCACTATGGCCCGGGGTGGTAGCGCACACCTTTAACCCCAGCATTCCCGAGGCAGAGGCAACCTAATCTCAGTGAGTTAGAGGCCAGCGTGGTCTACATTGTGAGTTCCAGGTCAGCTCAAGCTGGTGAGACCCTGTCTCAAAAAACAAAACAAACAAACCAACCACCCGACTAACCCTCAGTGGTCTTGAGCAATGCATACCCGGCCCATGTGGCTTTGGTGTTGTTTTAGTTGGCCTACAGGGTAGGTTTCCTTATGGCATTTTCATACATATTTAGTTTGGGTTGACCTTTCTTTCCCCTCCTCATCCCTTGGCTGTGCTCCCCATCTCCTCCCAAACCCTTCTGCTCAGTGTTCCCATCCACTATCATGTCACGGGTGCTTTAGTGCCCTCCCCACCAACAAACGGCTGTTCTGGGTGTTGTCTGCTCCACTGTCCCACCCCACGACAGCCTACAGGAGGGAAAGCGAGGCTTAAGGAAGGATGCTCCTTCCGGAGGAAGCACTCTGAAGAAGATGAAGGAAACCATGCCCCAAACATGCTTTGGATAAAACAGCTATTCACTGAGCATTCACCAGGTGTCGAGGGGACTGCTCTGGACAGTGAGAACATGACTGTGGATTCAATAGACAATCAATCTACTTTCGAGGAACTTAAACTCCAGGAAGTTGGAATCAGCCAAACCAGAGAAGTAATGTGTGTCAGGTTACTCTAAGAGGGAGAAATATTTGGGCAATTCAAAGCTGTTCTACAGGCTAATGATGGCAAGAGGCTCATGGAGAGAGAGTTCTAGATGAAATAAGCTTAGCAGTTGCTTTTCAAGGAATATGTAACTCTGACTTGGAAAATCTATATAAAATACTGCTTTGAGTCTTTCTAAGCATCAGCCTTCCGAGGACAGATCCAGAATTCAGTGTTTCTTCTTCGTGTTTCACCCACATTTAAACCATTCATACAACCTGGACAAAAGATGGCTCCGTGATGTATGATTGTTTATGTCCCAGGAAACTCAACACAAGCTGAAAATATCATAAATAAGAACTGTATTAAAGGGACTGGGGATGTCAGTCGTTGATGGTAGAGTGCTTGTCTATCATACACGAAGCCCTGGGTTCTATCTGCAGCGATGTAGAAAGAGAGTATGGCCACATATGTCTGTAATCTCAGTGCTCAGGGGGTGGAGGCAGGAGGATCAGAAGTTCAAGGTTATCCTGTTGTCCTTGGCTACTCCAGGCTAGCTGGCCTGGAAGCTTCTGAAGGACTAAAGTTTGGGGGTGGAGGCCAGCCAGACGGAAAAAGAATGGTAAAGGGTTTAAGGGAAGCACCTGGAATCCTGAGAGGTAAGGAGAGCGGAGAAGAGAAGGCCCAGCCTTGGCTACACTGAAGAAAACTCCTGATTACAAAGGAAGGAAATAAAAGGGAAGAAATGACTGACAACAGAAGAAAGAAGCTGAATTCTGAGAAAAGCAAGAGTTTTATTTTTCTTCTAAAACATTTCACTTGGAAAAAGTGTTCAGAGTTCAAGCAGTTCTAGATTGTGCGCGAACTGTTCTGTGTCCCGGCAGCCACTCCCAAATAACCATACAGAGACTTAATATTAATTATAAATGCTTGGTCTAATAGCTTAGGCTTGTTTTTTAGCTAGCCCTTATAACTTAAGTTAACCCATTTCTGTTCATCTGTGTTTATTTACCGCATGTACATACTTCCCATCGCTCTGTGTCTCATGGCGTCTCCTCTGACTCCACCCTTCCCCCAGCATTCTCTCTGCCCTGAAAATCCTGCCGAGCCATCGGCCAACCAGCTTTTTTATTAACAATGAGAGCAACATGTCTTCACAGCGAACAAAAGGATTATTCCATAGCACTAGACGAATGTGAATAAACTCTTACAGTTGGAATGCAGTCGGCCAAAGCCTGGGGAGACAGCAGTGTTGTGTGGGTATGATGTCTGGGAAGCACAGATCTGTGCTTGTCTACACACCCCCACACACGAACACCTTGGGTTTTACTTCATTACAGTCACACTACGTGCACTGTTCTGAGATTTATTTTCTTTTAAGAACTATTGGTTTTCTAACTGAGAACTCCATTGTATGATCCTACACTTTTAACACCTCTGTAAAATGCAACTCAAAGGTTGTCTGAGAATAAGGGTTATGAGTTCATCTGATTTGGGTTACAGGATACAGCCTGCCATTAATTTTTGTTGAGGTAATCAACTACTTTTCTGAGCCATTCAATGTCTACACCTTTTGCTTTGTGCCTCTCTGGGAGCCTCAGGCTTGTCTGGATGTCCCACGGCTGTCTAACCATATGCACTTGTTCCACAGGGCGGAGGGATGACAGGGTGTGCTTTCCTAGCCTTTTTTTCCAGTACATTGACTGGTTCAAGAAATGGGGTTGTGAACAGAGGCAGGAAAGTCAGAATCTTTTCCCCAAGAGTGCATTAAAACTGGAACTCAAGCTGGGCGGCGGTGGTGCATGCCTTTAATCCCAGCATTTGGGAGGCAGAGGCAGCCAAATCTGAGTTTGAGGCCAGCCTGGTCTACAGAGTAAGTTCCAGGAAAGGCTCCAAAGCTACACAGAAAAACCCTGTCTCGAAAAAACCCACAAAAACAAAAACAAACAAACAAACAAACAAAAAAATTGGAACTCAAACAGAAATAGCCTCTTTTCTCATTAGTGGTTATGCTAGAAATCCAAGAACGTCTTCAGTAGGAGAAAACAAAGTCAACTTGCATTGAGAAATAAAAACTGGAAAAGATAGTCTCCAAACAGGTAGGCTCCTCCAGCTTCCTGGATCTACTCATTCCCAAAGGTCTATGCCTATCTTTTCTGTGGTTTAATACATTTCCCTTTATCCATGAGCTCCCTAAAAAAAATTTTTATTACCCTTCTTTAACCAGGTGAGGTGATGCATGCCTTTAATCCTAGGACTACAGAGCCAGAGGCAGGCTCACAGAGGTGAGCTCAAGGCCAGCTTGGTCTACGTCGTAAGTTCCAGCCAGCCAGAGCTACACAAACCATTTTTATAAAATGTATTTAATTATTCATTCTGAGAGGGCGGTCCAGGCGGAGCCAGAGGGTAACTCACAGGTGTGGTTCTCTCCTTCCAGTGCGCAGGTTCCAGGGCTGTGACTTGGTTGTCAGACTTGATGACAAACAGTTTACCTGTTGAGCCATCCCGACGGCCCTCCTTGAGCCTCTTTAAATTGGGATTGGCTTGGCTGGGAATGTTGTTCAGTGAGTGAAACAGATATATAAAAGGCCCTAGGTTTGATCCCTACCACTGCAAGAAACACAGACGTGCCCAGTCACAAGCACAGATCTCTAATGCTCACCCAATAAGGATAGCTGGGGTACTTGAAGCCCTCTGAATCTGCCCCTCAGCTTACCCATGCCATGTGTCCAAACACACAATGTAGCAAAGAAGTGTGCCTACATTTCTTCAGACAAATCCCATAGCCCTGATGTGCTACATCCCTTCCAAATGGGGCTCTGCACCTGCCACTGGCTGAGCCCCTCTCCTACCACCCAAACTGCTTCCCCTGAGTCTCCGGTCTTCCTGTGGACTGTAGGTTCGACCTTGTCATTGAAACTAGAATTATGGAGTTATCTTAGCTCCTATCTGCTCCACAGTGGTTCTTACTGACAAACAGTAATTATTCCAGGTTGCCAAATATACTTTCTGACCTTTCTGTCTTCTTTCCATCCTCAGGATCCTGACTCCTGACAGCTCTTGTCTGCTGATCAAACTGATCTGTGTCCGGTTTGCTCCCTCCAACCGTCTCCCATTTGGGACCTTTAAAAGCAGATCTGATCATCCATTCATTGGACCTGCACAACAATCAGATAAGGTGTCCCATTATTTCTGGTGGAGCCTGCACGTCCCCCCCTGACCAGTTGTTCTGGCCTCCCCATCTCTTGTGTGCCTATCTTCATAACAGCATCGTGTTGACCACTTCTTTGAGTTTCCCCTAACACCCCCCACACTGTTACATTAGCTAATGATTTTTCTGCTTATGTATTCTCTTACTGGTTTCCACAGGAAGCAGTTTGTGAGAAATGACTATTTGGAGCACATTTGGTAGGCAGGCTGGGTTATGCTTTTTAGATTTAAATTTAAATTTTTCATTTTTTTTCACTGGATTCTATCTTTTGATTTTTCCAGATGTAGGCAGGCATTCAACTGGAAAGGCTTGGAAACAAAAACACAGAAGAAAGAATGTCATCATTGTCACTTAGCTGAGAACCTAGTTCCTTTTTTCACAAACAAATTCTATTCAAAAAACTAAAGCATTTTATTACATAAATTTTTAGAATACTCTGCCATGTGCAAATTGACTATCCTTTCATCTAGCTGTAGTTCAAAGCTATGTGATGCATAAAAGGATCTGCAGATCATTTCCAAGCAGTTTTTAGATTCTGGGAAGGAGCCTGCAACTCCATGTTTAGTTCCCCCTAGTGAAGCAATTGCAGGTGCCACTTTTGGAGAAAGGTGGGTACAGAGTAAGCAGTGTGAGCCGGGATCAGAAGGAAGGAAAATGGTGGTGATCGTTCTCACTTGCATGTGCCCACCTCTAAATAGCACCTGCGGAGGCCTCTCCTGCTGTGCTTACTGTATTTTTCTGGTGGATGAGAAGAGAAATGAATTGGTGAAAAGTAGTAGGCTAACACTGGAGAAGAGCCTAGCCAGCCTGGGATCCAGGTTTAGTGGGGTTGTCTTTAAGAATGGAGTACCACATGATGGTTCATGCCAACAGTCCCAGCACTTGGGAGGCTGAGGTAGGAAGATCCCTTTGAGATCAAGCTCAGCCTGGGCTACTGAGCAAGTGTCAAGTCAGCCTGGGTTAGGATGAGACCTTGCATCAAACTCTGCCCCCAGAAGAAGGAAGAAAACAAAATCAAACACCACAAAGTATTCATTTCACATAAGAAAGAGAGAAAGCAACAGAAGACTGGAGTTACAGCTTTCTAGGTCCTTCTCTCCTGAAATCCCTTTAGGCAAATGATCAGAAATGCTTACATAGGAATGCTCGCTCTCCTGATTACAATCTAGCTTCCTCTCCCAACCTAGACCATTCCAGCAACCCTCAGCCTTACAAAACAAGGGGCCCTTGTAAAGCTACTCTGGATCCAGGCCACTAGAATGAAGAATCTACCCATTCTGGGGTCCCAATTCCCTGGTTCATGTATGTTAGAAACTGGCAACCTTTGTTCAGGGCTGTTCTCAGAGCCAGGACCCAAGACATGCCCTGGAGTTGGGAGGTTAAATCAGATTACTCAATGAAGTGAGGTTGAAACAGCTCTACATCTCCCACCTCCAAACAAGTGGTTGTCTTTCTCTACCTTCTAGCTGATTCGTTCCTATCTGAGAAGCCCAGGTTGAATGTGAGTGAGGATAATGCTAACAACATCTAGCTGTGGAATGGAATTTACCATTAGCTGGAGGTTAGAGGAAGAAAGGGTATCACAGCAGCCTCAGGCAGTGGCTCAGATCTGAACCACAGATGTTAGGTCCCTTTGAGTTGCTTCAGATGATTCAAATAACTCGTGTATCTCTAGCTTGTAGGTTCATAATCAGGATGTGACTTTAAAGGAAAGAAAACAATTTTTCTTTGTTGCCCAGGTGGGCCTAGAACTAGGCTCACACGGTCCTCTTGTCTCGCCTACTAAGTAGCTAGGAAGACAAGACACCTTTTATTTTTATTTTATAGTACATTTTCCTTGTTTATGTTTAGGGATTGGCACTTTGTATTTTTCTCACTGAATCTTTATAACCCTGCAAGGCAGGGAAGCCAAGGTTCAGGTTGGTTCAATGCCTCGCCCTAAAACACCTCTCTCCATTAGGAACTCAGTCTCAAATCCTGCACCTCTCTTTAGTGGACACAGGGAGGAAGCCGGTTGAGTTGGTTCCCCATCATTGAGCTCTTATTAGGAACCAGGCATGAGGATTAGCAGGAAGTGAGCAGAGGGATGGTTCAGAGCACTCACTTACCGTGTGTCGGGCCCCGGGTTTCACTTCAGCGCTGCAAAAATAAAGAAAGAAAGAAAAAGAAAAACAGTGATCGTTAATCTGGGTGAGTAAGACTTCAGGGTGGCCTCAAAGAGATCTTAGTCTAGGGTAGGAAATAGACACGTCACAGCATAATTTCACTTTCATATAGTAGTAAATATTTCTGCATCTTTCCCATAAAGAAGCCATAAAAGCAAAAGAAATTGTGAAATTTCTTTTTGATTTATTAGTTTTATTTTAAAACTCATATCCTGCCGGTGGTGGCAGCGCATGCCTTTAATCCCAGCATTCGGGAAGGAGAGGCAGGCGGATCTCAGTGAGTTCAAGGCCAGCCTGGTCTACAGAGCGAGTTCTAGGACAGGCAGAGCTACACAGAGAAATCCTGTCTTGAAAAACAAAACAACAACATCAAAAAACCATGTCCTTCAAGTTGTTTTTCAAATTACTTTCTTTTACATACTTCAAAAATTTTTTAAATTTTGTTTTTAGTTTTTCTGGTTTTTTTTTTTTTTTTGGTTCTGGTTGTTTTTTTGAGACAAGATTTTTTTGTTTAACAGTCCTGGTTGTCCTGGAACTAGCTCTGTAGACCAGGCTAGCCTCGAACTCAAAGATCTGCCTGCCTCTGCCTCCGGAGTGCTGGTATCAAAGAGGTGTGCCACCATGGCCCAGTTTAAGGGTTTTTTTTTGTTTTGGGTTTTTTTTTTGGGTTTTTTTTCGAGACAGGGTTTCTCCATGTAGTTTTGGTTCCTGTCCTGGATCTCGCTCTGTAGACCAGGCTGGCCTCAAACTCACAGAGATCCATACCCAACTCTGCCTCCCGAGTGCTGGGATTAAAGGCGTGTGAAACCACCGTCCGGCCATTTTAAGTTTTTTAATATGTGTAAGAGTATGTGTCTGTGTATGCAGATCCCTGCTGAGGCCAGAGGAGGTGGGTCCTCCTGGAGCTGGAGTTACAGACAGTTGTGAGCCATTTGAGATCGGTTCTCAACCAAACCCCGGTCCTCTACAAGAGCAGGAAGTGCTCTTAACTGCTGAGCTATGTCCCCAGCCCTGATTCATTGTATTTATTACATTATGCATGCATGGTATGTGTCAGTGTGGGCTCAGGTATACCATGAAGCATGCGTAAAGGTCAGAATACAACTTTTGGGAGTCTACTTTCTCTTTCTACCATGTGGGACCCAGGACTGAACTCAGGCCATCAGGATTGAATGGCAAGTGCTTTTATGTGCTGAGCCACCAGACCAGCCCATATTTTTTGTTTTGTTTTCAGATTTTTTCGAGACAGGTTTTCTCTGTCTAGTCCTGGCTGTCCTGGAACTCTCTCTGTAGACCAGTCTGGCCGTGAACTCAGAGATTCATCTGCCTCTGTCTCCAGAGTGCTGGGATTAAACTTGTGCATCACCATACCTGGTTCTCTCTGTGTCTCTTGCTCTGTGTGTGTGTGTGTATATATATGTGGTCACTTTTTTTTTTTGAGACAGGGTCTCATGTTGCCCGGGCTGTCCTTGAACTTATATAGCTGAGGATGATCTGGAGCTTCTGATCTTCTTGCCTCCATCTCTCTTGGCTGAGGTTATAGGTGTGCAGCACCAGGCCCAGCTGATGCTGTGCTGTGGATTGAACCCAGGGCTTCCTGTGTGACACAAGCACTCTACCAACTGAGTGACGCCTCCAGGCCTATTACTTATTACGGAAAAAAATATGATGAAGAGTCTCTGCAACACTGAATACTTCATACTCAGTGTTAGGTGCTCTTGCTTGAGAAGCAGAAGACACTACCCTACCTCCACCGCATTACAGTCCAGTAGTGAGCAACCAAAGTTTTCTAGGGGGGTTCTGGAGCAAGGCAGGGGCAAGGAACTGGATCCTAGCCCAAGCTGCAGCAGAAGTCATATGATAATCACTGCACTGTACTGGGCTGTATTTGAAGTATGGCTTATTAGGTGTTAACAGTTGTTTTCTTTCCTCTTCAACATAAATACTAGTGGACAAATCACTTTCTAGAAGGCAAAGGAAAGGTAACTAAAACTGAGCAGTGACTTCATGCCAACCACTGGTATGGACTAGCTAAGTCAATGCCCACATCTGTTCCATTAGGTGAATAATATTTATCTTGAGTATTCCTCTTTTGGAGCCTATTCTACCCCCAGAATTTCATTCCCAATTTTCTCTAATAAATTTATGTTCACTCTTCTTAAAAACGTATTATCTCCTTTTTTTGTAGCTATAACAATGGAGATTCTGAGAGGCTGACATGCTTTGTGTTAGTTAGGTCTAAAAGTAGGACATACAGCCCAGAGTTTGACCCTATAAAATTGATGTTCTTCCTACCAAACCAAGCTGAAGCCTATTCCTGGTCTTGCTGGTAATGGAAGCAGAAGCAGTCGGACTGGCCTCCAGTTTCAAGAAAGGGAAGGCAGACTTTCCACGAACAATTTGGTCATGGAAACTTCCAAGCAATGTCCCTCTGGCTGGCACTTTTACACCCTACCTCACCAAGCTGTGTGTGGAATCTGGACAAGGGAAGGGAAGGGTGCATGGGCCATCCCCTGGGAGTGTCCACTGAAGTCTGCTTTATACAGTTTATAATTCGCTGTAAACAGCTTCTGTCCCTAATTAAACCTGTATGATCGTGCCTGAACTTTTAGGAAACAAGGTTTCTTTTTATGGTTTGCTCTTCAGTGGTAAAAATCAGAGTCCTCTTGAATCCATAGGTCTCCTTCACTTGTTGGGTTCAACTATGGAACTCTGGACTGTAGCCTACAAATATACAGGTCCTGGAACACCCAGCAAATGCCAGATGAGGGGACTACTGGCAATTATGCTCCATCTCTTCCAGATTCTGCTGAGCAGGGCTCCAGGACATCTGATGTCATTTGTGGTAGGCTGGGTAACGATGTAACACTCTCGGCTGGAAAGTGTTGCTTGACAGTGGTTTTTGAGGAAGCACTTAGGTTCAGAATGACTTACTCCTCCTAGAGACAGGTGCTCAATGAAACCACCTTAACATGAAATTGGTAATAAAAGAAAATGAATGGGCTCCAGTACCTTTAATTTTTGCTAATTAAGAAAAGTATGGTCGGGCGGTAGTGGCGCACACCTTTAATCCCAGCACTCGGGAGGCAGAGGCAGGCAGATCTCTGTGAGTTCGAGGCCAGCCTGGGCTACAAAGTGAGTTCCAGGAAAGGCGCAAAGCTACACAGAGAAACCCTGTCTCGAAAAACCTACAACAAAAAAAAAAAGTATGTGTTTATTAAATAAAATCTTAAAAACACACTAAGTAGAAAGAAGAAAAAGTGATCATGGTTTCCTGCCCAGAAGCAATCACTATTTAGCATTTTGGCCAATGTTCTATTATCAAAGAATTGTAGGTAACATTTCTTACAGTTTATTGTGGTTAAAAAAATTTCATGTAGCCGGGCGGTGGTGGCGCACGCCTTTAATCCCAGCACTCGGGAGGCAGAGCCAGGCGGATCTCTGTGAGTTCGAGGCCAGCCTGGACTACCAAGTGAGTTCCAGGAAAGGCGCAAAGCTACACAGAGAAACCCTGTCTCGAAAAAACCAAAAAAAAAAAAAAAAAAAAAAAAAAAAAAAAAAAAAAATTTCATGTAAATTGGCATCAGGATTTTTTAAAAAAGATTTACTATTTTATTTGTGTGTGTTTCTGGGCATGTGCATGTGGGTTCCCGCAGAGGCTAGAAGAGAGCACCAGACCCCATGAAGCTGGAGTTACAGGAAGTTGTGAGTTGCCCAGCTTGAGTGTTAGAAACTGAACTCAGGTCCTCTGCAAGAGCAGCATGTGCTCTTAACCACTGAGCTACCTCTCCGCCTCCAGATATCATGTAAATCGAAATGGTATGTCTAGTGAGTAGTAACCTCTGTTGGCACGACTCATCCAGACACTTTCCTAGTAGAAGCTACAGGCAGGATTCCTGGCACTGGCAGCATAACTACTAGAGAGCTCTGGCTCGCCGGATATACACAAGCTTCCCAGTGAGCCCTGTCCATCAAAAATTTCAGTGAAAATGTACACGTCCACTGTGTTGTCTCATCCTGGCAGTCACTGATTTTACATGGTCCAGCATCGACTGCGGCTACAGAGAAGGCGAAAATGTGAGCAGGTAAGGTTAAACTGATAGGATTAATTTCATGTTTTATTTACTTTTAAAAATGTTTAATCTGCCGGGCGGTGGTGGCGCACGCCTTTAATCCCAGCACTCGGGAGGCAGAGCCAGGCGGATCTCTGTGAGTTCGAGGCCAGCCTGGGCTACAAAGTGAGTTCCAGGAAAGGCGCAAAGCTACACAGAGAAACCCTGTCTCGAAAAACCAAAAAAAAAAAAAAAAAAAAAAATGTTTAATCTTAGAGGCAGGTGGATCTCTGTGAGTTTAAGGCCAGCCTGGTCTAGAAAGTGAGTTCCAGGACAGCCAGAGCTGCTATACAGAGAAACCCTGTCTTGGAAAAGAAAAAAGTTTATTTTTGGTGGCCCTGGGGATTGAACCCAGGGCCTAATACTACTGAGCAATTACCACCCACCACCCACCCCCACCAACTTTGAGGCCAGGACTCCTAAGCTGCCCAAGCAGGCCTTGAACTTTGCCTTGGCTTTCAAGGTACCTGGTATGCTAGCATAAGACTTTCCTCGCTGAACTATACCCACAGAACATCCTGAAATTCTAGGGTTCATAGGCTGGTGCCACCATACTTGATTACTTATAACTAGTTTATAATTCATGTAGTCACACATACGCAGGTCAGGTGGCTGTTATGTTGGCTGGACAATTCCTCATAGTGGAATCTATAAAAACACTTAATGGTCTTCAAGTATACAGGGGACAGGGGATGAAAACTGGCATTGAAAATGTGTAGCATCTGTCATTAGAAACCGTGACAGAGCTCATTGTTTTCTTTTAACCCAGCGGTGAGAAATGACACTCCATGATAAAAACGGAGAGGGGCTCATAACTAGTCTGTGAAAAGGAAGTCAGTCATTAACTACCTTCTGACACCCT